TATATATAAAATACTTTACCATCTGTAATACAATTGGTTCTCTCACTATAGCACAGGAATGACATGTGACTGTTCATCCCATTAGATGTCATCTACCAAAACTAAAGTTTATAAATAAATAAATATTCCCATGTAATCCGCTTAAAGCACCTGTCCAAAGAAAAACCCTTCACCAGGCGTACTAAACATCACGTTGGAGTGATTCCTAGAGCTTTAGTCTTTAAGTGCATGAAATATGCAAGGGGGAAAAAGAAAAATTATAGTCTATTTTTCTAAAATAAAGTAAAACCAACGTTGGTCAAGTATAATGAAAGGCCTTTTAAATGCGCTTAAAAGCAAACTGTCTGGTCCGTTTAAAGTAGTAAAGGTTAGGATTTTAATTGTAACTTCAGGCACAAATACTGAAGCCATGCAATTCTTCTGGGTCAAATATTATTTTTGACCCATGATTTATACCTTTCCACTATCAGTAGAAAATCATGGCGGTTAACCCTCTCCTTCACCTGACAGAAAGTCGAGGCAAAGACATTTGTTATGCTAACAAAACCATGGCAAACCATCAATACGAGCCCACGTTCTTTAAATTACATTCTGTACATTATTTATACTTGATTTGTAATACAATATAAATCATAGATACACTGTACTATTACACTGATACACTGTGCTTTCATTTTAGCCCAGAAATGGTTTGTCAATTTTCCTGCCGCCTTCTGTATATGTACAAGGAAACATTTTTAAAATTAGTATATGAGTGTGCATTTATAATTCATGCGTGCCTTTAAGATGCTTTGGTCATGCTATGAAGGTTTTAATGACCTTCTGTATAACCTGGCCACAGCCTGGGCAAAGAGCATGAAATTTGTGCAGCTTGCGGGCACAGGGGAAACAGGTGATCAAGTGAGCTGTGCGGCCGTGGATGATGTTGCCGTTTCGGGGCCGCACTCGGCACAGCTTGCAGGGTTCCATTATGGCCTCCGGTTGGCATTCCGTCTCCATGTCCAGCATGTCCTGGCTGTCTCCCTCTGAGCTCTCCTGTAAGTGGTGGTGAAGCTGGGAAGGACCCTTTCCTTTAGACGAGGAAGCGGATGATGGGGGGATGTTTCTAGAGACGTGGTGCGAGGGGAGGACGACTGGGTCAGACACAGTCCTAAGGCAGTCAGGCATGTCGATTCCATCATCATCCTCCTCATCTTCATCCCTCTCAGGACGTGAACTGCAGGCGGGGATGTCTGGCACAGAGATGGAGTGTACAAGACGAGGACAATCCTTGTACCAGTCTTTCCGCAGAGCCCAACAGCGCATACAGTACCGTTGAAGAGGGGTGTTAAATTTGCGGCACTCTGAACACTGCCACGCATCCTGCCAGAAGAAGAGGTCATTTGAATAAGATATGCCTTCCATGTATGTAGAATAGGGTTGGGCGATGTTTACCAAATTGGCATCGGATGATGTCTACAGTGAAACATCGTGATGGACGATGACATCGGGGGGCGGGGTTAGGGGGTGTGCCCGAAGCGTGAATCCGTTTGCAGAAAGGCACGGAAAACAAATAACACGTTCTACGGAGCCACTAAAGGGACATGGTTAGCCGCTTGCTAGCGGTAGACTGTTACATTACAGTACATGAAAGTTCACTTACCACATACACAGAGTAAGGAGAGATGACTGATAGGACAATGGCGAATGATTTGCAGATACTGAGCACCACTGACAAATATCTAATCTTGTAAATTGTGTGGTAGGTAAGGCCGATCCGTAGTATAGAGTCCGAGTGATCGCGAATCTCGAAAGTGAAAGTAAAATGAGAGCGCGCATTCAAAAGCGATGGCATCGTCTATCAGCCCAACCCTAATGTAGAACTATTTTATAACATAAATAGAAAAATATAAAGATGGTAAACTTAAATACACACAAACAATTTAAATCTTATCCTAAAAATACAAATTTCATTATACAAAACTTCAAGTTTTTCCAAAAATATTAAGCAGCACAGCCTAATTATTTAAAAAAAAAAAATTCAAATTGTAACAATATTTCACAATATTACTGTTTCTACAGTGTTTTTGACCAAATAAATGTAGCCTTGTTGGGCATAAAATATTTCTTTCAAATACATTAAAAAAATTCTTATAGACAACAAACTTTTTTAGTTTTAGTGTATACATATTTTAGGTAGATAGGTCAATACCGGCATTGGCCATTTAAAAACCCATAACGTTCGATCAATAATAAAGAGCTGCAACTTTTTTTCTTATATATATACCTGTGTGGAGATCTCAGTATCAGTGTCATCACTTAAACACTGAGAGTCATCATCCTGATCTTCTTGCATCTGAAAGTGAAAATGATTGCATTTAGCTGGTTATGATGACTCAATTATCTGAAAACGATAGTCAAAAAAGCACAACAAAAAAAAACAAGCGAAAAAGCAACATCACCTTCTTGTTATCTTTACTATCTTTCCCAGTCTCCTCTTCTTCATGTGGAGACTCCGCGTCACTTCCCTGCTCCAGCACTGCCTCCATCTCCACACTCACTTGCTCGCTCTCTGCCTCATTCAGGAACCAAAGATCATCTGTGGTGTCAGAAACGATGGCCGTATCCTCGTCCTGTCCAGGAGAGAGCTGTTCCCTCAGTCTAGTTGTGTGACAGTCTTACTACACTGACTTGGCTCAATTTTTTCTCATTTTTTCTTCATGAAAATGGCCATATGAATTATGTTCTGAGTATCATGCCCTCTTACTTGATTGGTGTGAATATCCGTTGAACCATTGCTCCGGCGAGTGTAATTACTTCGCAGGTTACCCAGAAACCACCAGGGCAACCCAGAAAGGTCCCACTCTTCCAGAGTAACATCCAGCTTTGGCCGTTTGCAAGCAGACGTGGGCAAGCCGTCTGAGGAGTCTGTAAGGATCAATATCTGATCTTAAATAACATTACAATTGCAAAAATAAGTGATGATGATATTCATTACATTGTCTTAAGTGTGTTTGGTGGTTCACGCTGACCTTCATCAGGATCACGTGGCCTGCGTTGTGAGCAGCTCTGCGTTGCACCAGTGCTGGAACTACCAGTAATGAGAGCTTGTCCAGAGCTAATCGAACCACTGGAAACCTACACGGTAAAGAAAAGTCGAATTAGCACACAGCAATGGCATGACACTCGGTAGGACAGCAGTTCCTTCACAGCAGGTGCCCGTGGGTGTGGCAACAAAAGGCCACGTTCTCACAAGTAGAGGGAGGGGAAAATATAGGAAGTTTCTAAAAAGGTTGCTTAGAATGGGTAACAAATGATGGAGATATTGGGACACCGCTGCAGCTACAAGTGCAAACAAAGTAGCAACTAGGGCTGCACGATAAATCGCATGCGATATTTAATGCGCATCTTGTCAGTAAAGCCGGTTCTGTAATCAGCGGTAAATCTCCATCACCTGCGGGCTTTCACATTGAGCAGCATTAACTACACAGAGCCGTTGATCACTGACGAGCTGCGCAAAAAATCGCGCGAATTTGAACGTGGTTTTGCGCAACTCGTCAGTGAACAACGGCTCTGTGTAGTTAATGCTGCTCAATGTGAAAGCCCACAGGTGATGGAGATTCACCGCTGATTACAGAACCGGCTTTACTGACAAGATGCGCATTAAATATCGCATGCGATTTATCGTGCAGCCCTAGTAGCAACAAACAAGTAGACATCTGGTATCTAAATTACATCTCATCAATAATACCAGTAATGTGTCATATCGGAAAAAAAAGCCAATCCAAAATAACACTTTTCATATTATTAGCATAAATCACTCAAAACCTTTCTATTTAAAGTCCTGTGATCAGCACAAATGCATGACGGTACCAGACACCTCATCCCAGACTGCTTTTCCCAACCCAAACTAACTTCATTCTGCCAAATCACAAAAGTAAACCACCATGCCAACGGTGTTAAATGTGGATGGCTGTGTGACAGAGGGGACAGGGTAGAAAAGGGCCAGTGAACCGAGAAGGAACCTGCAGTCCTTCCGAAAGAAACGACGCAGAGAAGGAAACTCTGAGCGACAAACAGAGACAGGTACTCTGTCCCCCAGCAGCCAGGCCCATGCTGGTGGCTTCTCCGGAAGGACCACCAGGCCAAGCCGGCCGTGGGGAAGTACAGAGACGGTGCCACTCTGTACAGATACGGCAGGTGGAGACAGCTGCTGCCCTCCCCTTCGTGGCAAACAGACTACTGATTGTGATGCAATTCTACACACAAAAATTGCATTGCAGCAAAAGTCTGAGCAACTACAATGGAAAGAAAGATGTGAAAGCTTGAGAAGGCAATCACAGACATTAAAGTAACATTGATTAGAGCATAATTAAATTTAAAAAAAGGTAAAAGCTGACAAATGTAAAAGGCTGTGAGTACTTTATGCTGAAAAAACAACTACTTAACAACCTAAATCATCTTTAATTTACAAAAAAGAAAGAAAGAAAGAAAGAAAGAAAGTACAGAAAAATACATCTAGTACCGGAAATGCCCTGCACAAAGCACTTTTGTCAGCCTTTCATTTAAATGGAAAACACAAGTAACAAAATTAATCAATAACTTTGATTTATCATGATAGGATTCATTTGATTTTCTGATCAATTGTTTGCCATGAAGAGGAGTAACGGACACTGTTTCTCTTGTGCACCATGCTGTAGTTTTACCTGACCAGGATCTTCACTTGGAGACTCATTAGAATCCTTGCCGACTGAAAGATTCTTTGCTGCATCTGTATTTCAAATAAGACATAGTAACAAAACAACCAAAAGAAAAAAACCTGCCCTTTATTCACCAAGCACACCTCAAGCACACTTGTCCCAAACGTAATGCCTGAATCTGTGGTGGAAAATGCAAAACTATGCTCTGTGATCAAGTAACGTGTGCATTGTTTTACAAAAAATATTATTATTATTTAATTTTTTCTTTAACCTAGTCAAGTATTTAACCTGAAGTCAAGATTCTGTATGAAGATTGCACAGCACACTAACCTGGTAATACAATGACAAAGTTATGGGGCGGGAACTTAAAAAAAACAAACAAAAAAAGAACAAACAAACAAAACAAAAAAAAACTTTACATACCCAATGTAGTACACACATCACATTCAGACATGCACACAGACACACCTCAAAATGAAAGGTGGGGCTAATCAAAATGAGAGAAAGAAATAGAGTAAAAGGGCTAAATGACAGCATGACAAGTCATTCAAGATCATTCAAAATATGCATCTCTGGGAGATCAAATTCAACAACAAAGGATGGACTTACCCGAATTGTTCAAAATAAACAAATTCCTCTTCAACATCTCATACACAGGACTATGAAAGGCAGAAAAGAAAGACATAAATACCTGAAATATGTTGATTTCTCTAAATAACACACAAAGGTAAGGTAAGGAGCTGCATCAGACATAGCAATTAAACAGCTGGTATATATTTTGAGGTTTTCAGAGTTGGTTGTTAAAGGGGTAGTTCACCCCAAAAATCCTGTGTCACCATTTACTCACTCTCGTGTTGTTATAAAAAACTTGTATGACTTTCTCTATTCTGCACAACATAAAAGAAGATATTTGGAGAATGTTGGTAACCAAACATTTTTAATGACCACAGACTTCCATTTTATGGATATTTGTCCAAACATTCTTTTATTTGTTTCAGAGAAGTCGTCAAACAGTTTTGGATCAACATGAGAGTGAGTAAATGACAATTTACTCACATTTTTGGTGAACTATTCCCTTAAAGGGGTCATATGATGCGATTTAAAATTTTCCTTTCTCTTTGTGAGTGTTACACAGGGTTCCCACTCTTTCACGAACACCAGATTCAAGGACTTTCAAGGACTTTTTCAAGCACCATTTATTTTATATCAAGCACCTATCAAATTCACACCCCAGCATATGTAGTGTCATGAAAGACCTTACATTACTTAACATTTCACTTACACTTAACATTTACATTAAACATTTCAGAGTAATAATGTTTTGAATGTATAGGTTTCATAAATTTATACCATTTTGAGCAGTCGTGTTAAAAGGAATTGAATGAAATCCATTGAAGTCAGTACTGGTAATATTCAAATTTAATTTCTAAAATATTGATAAAATATGCATCAAACTGATTTTTGCTGTAGTTCTTGTACAAGTTTTAAATTTGAAAGAATTTCCCAATTTTTAAATTAATAAAAAGTGGTTAAATGTTGTAATAACATGGTAAAAGCTGATAACATTACAAATTTGCACTTATACTGCATTACTGTGTAATATTTATGGTTTCTATAGCCGTGGCATCATGATGGTATGAAGAGATGGATTAATTCATGTAGGACGCCGCTGAAGGCCTAGGTGTAAAATGCACGGCCCGCCACTGTGTAAATCCCATTTTTTCCATCGCTGACCTAGAGGAATGCAGCTGCTCAAAAAGTCAGTATTTTTTGAAAATATTTCATGAACATTTTAAACCTTGTACATGTGCAAATCTGCAAAAAAAAAAATTAAGAAAAATACAAAAAAAATAGGACTTTCTATTTGCTTTTAAACTGTAAACGC